CGGCCGCATGGAAAAGGCCGGTCGTCCCGGCGTGACGGTTACGTTTTGCGCCGAGAACGAGATCTGCGACATTCGCATTACCGAGCAGCGAGTGGGGTTCCGCTTCGAGTGCCGCGCGGTGCCATCCGAGGAGCAGATGATGACTCTCGCCGTGATGCTCGCCCGCCAGCAGATAAAGGGAGTCAGGAATGACAGGGCGGAGTTCTTCAGGGGGGCCGTCCAGGAACTTCTCGCCGAAGATAACTCGGAGGTGAGTCGAAACGTACCTCGTGAAGGTACAACTGTTGCGGGTTTTCCTGCCAAGATGGCATCGGCGGGACTTATATATCATGTTGCCTGGGGTTTTGTTTCAACACTACCCCTCCGCGGCGTTGAGGTAGAGCTTTCCAAGAGTTGCTTGTGTGAACGCTTGGCGATAGGCAGCGAAAATGTGGAAGCTCGTCAGCTGTCTGTGAAGAACAGCTTCGCAGCGTGCTATTTGAGCGAGTAATGTTGGCCTCTGCTTCCCTAGTGACTTTTTCCTATCTATCGAGACTTGTTTTTTCGTCTCTTGTGCATTGTGGCGCTCGTGGTCTCTCTGTACGCTCTCGCGCCCCTGGCTCTTACAGGACATGGAACTTCTGCTTCCCAACTGCTTGGCGACCATCGCCCGCATGACGGACCGCAAGATGATGTCGCGGTAAGGGTCGAACACGACATATCTAGGATACTAATAATACGACACATTTGGGTGCTTCTGCACGACCCACGAAGCCATATCCATTCATGATGTAAAGGACCTTGTTGTGCTACATGCGCGTATGTATTTGACTGAACTGGAACATCGCACAGGGTAATTTTTGGCCTCTACGTTGCTTGCCTTGGTGCCAGTCCGAGAGTCGTTTTCACTTGTTTGGTCAACGACAGAGGCGATCGATGCTGACGGAAGAGCCAGACAGCCTCTTGTCCCTGCCTCCCACCCCCCTGTTGGCCAATGGTCCGTAGCCTTAACACGACCCAAACTTGTTCTGCGTGTGCAGTCTTCTAGCATACAAGTGTATATACCCCGTCGATCTTGCGCATCGTTCCGCGATAGCCACGCGGGAGGGTATACTTGTACAGTACTGGGCCCTCTATAGTGCAGGTTGAATGGTGCAGGTGCCCGGTATGGTGCAGGTAAAATCTCTGGACACAGAGAGCGCCCTCAATAGTGCAGGTCCTGCACGATTGAGGGCGGTCCCGCTTTAGTGCAGGTTAGGTACCGCGGTGCCCCGCAATAGTGCAGGTTGGACATACACACACACGCAAAAACGATAAGTGAGAACGATGGAGTTGGAAGGAAGGAGGATGGCGGTGAAAGCACTCCAAAACGAACTAGAGTGCAAGGTAGGAGCCTTCATCGACACGTGGCAGTTTTTTTCTGTTGCTAACGTTTCTGTCGTTGATCCGGAGAAAGCTCAGCCTCCCCCAAGCCGCCCCCTCTCGGGGTCCCAGTTGTTAGTGGCATTGAGAAGTCTTTCATGTTTTCAATCGCACTAAGACTGACGTCTTTTCATTGTCAACCGGTTGGCGCGGTCGATGCTAATAACAAAAACACACACAGACCAGACAGCGGACAGGAGCAACACAGAAACCAGGGTACATGTGCTGCTGCAGACCCGAAGAGCTCTACGTAGAGACACACCATGCCTTGTGCGGACGGTGAACTGTGCCATGAACAAGACAGAAGCCGCAAGCCCCTCATGGCCACGTTTTAAGGGAGGGTGTGGCGGGCGGCTCCACGGTAATTGCGACAGCATGTTTGAGGACGACGAGAAGCACCGCATCTGCAGCAAGTGCGTCGCCAAGCGAGCGCAAAGCGACACCACCAGCCGAGGGTGCTGGGGCGGGACAATCTACACGGCCGAAGAAAACAAAGGGGGGAAGTAAAAAGGGTTCTGGTTCTCGTGCGCGGCCGGACAACAACACGAAGCTTGAGAGTCTCAAGTTGATGGATGCGCCAGGCAGACATGGGAGATTTTTCGCCACGTAGTGAGGGCGGGGGGTACAGCTGTAGCAGTAGTGGTTGTTTGTTTTCTTGTAGTAGTGCGCTTCCTGGCGTGTGTTTTATTTTATTTAATATCTTGCAACATCGAACGAGGGCAGCGAGGACTGAGAAATAGCTTCGTCCACTAAGTTCTAATGTTGAAGGATTGGTTCGTGCGACAGTTCACGGTGTGCAGTATAGTACGAGTGTTGGGGCAGGAAGACAATAACGACGCAACTTGCAAGTAATTTTTCTATATCATCTGTGTGTGTGCGACAGGGGGGAACCACACGCGTCGCGGGACAGTCTNTCTAATGTTGAAGGATTGGTTCGTGCGACAGTTCACGGTGTGCAGTATAGTACGAGTGTTGGGGCAGGAAGACAATAACGACGCAACTTGCAAGTAATTTTTCTATATCATCTGTGTGTGTGCGACAGGGGGGAACCACACGCGTCGCGGGACAGTCTGCCCACGCCCACGCTTGAACAGGGCCCAGCACTACTGTAATTCGATCAATTTCGTACTCTTGTTAGCCCCGCAAAGCATGAGCGTCACACCTTGAAATTAAACATCTCCTCAATAGTGCCGGACCTGCACTATTGAGGTATACTCATCGCTTCAAGAGTGCCAAACCTGCACTATTGACATAGATTCTGATTAGTGCAGGTGCTCGCTATGGTGCAGGAAAAATTTCTGGACACACCCCTGCACTATAGAGGGCCCAGTACTGTAGAAGCCGACATCAAACCATTAGGCTGACTGGTCCAATGGTTTGAGTTGTCTACTGCAAGTCACGTAAAATATATTCCGCGCTCGGTGTGGCCGCTTGACCACCAACTTCCGGGGCTGATTCTCCATACCGTGGAAAGTGCCATCGTCACAACGACCAACGCTTTAGACTAGTTACGTACACCGGCCTCCTTTCGTTCTCAACCGTCCGAGACTGGTCGATATTGGCTGTACCCACGCCCATCCAGCAACGTTTACGTACGTGCGTTCAGGTTCAGTCGGATGCGTGACTCGAGCGTCTTAATCGTCGTCTCGCAAGGGTGCACGCAGTGCTCCTCCCTCCGACGTCCTTGTTTGTCAAGGATATTGAGTGCGCGCACACAACCGAGGCGTCTCTTGTGTCAGCGTCCCTCCAAGCCTGCAGGACGCCCCAAAAGGAACACAACGTTTGGCACATGCGTCTATTTCCTTCCGTGGCCCGCGCATGATGACCGGAGTTTTGTATTTGAAAGGAGTACACGCATTCGGGGATTACCCGCGGAGGAAACAGTCGCTTTCNTTTCCTTCCGTGGCCCGCGCATGACCGGAGTTTTGGATTCGAAAGGACAACACGCATGCGGGGATTACCCGTGGAGGAACAGTCGCTTTCGGCAGAATAGTTATCAACCAGGGGTATCCGCGTCGCGACACGCTCGCATCTTACCTGCCAAAGGGAATCAGATCATCGCTCTGTAGGACTAGTTCTTTGACGACTAGATCTACCTGCCTCGGGCCGTATCCCAACATTCCTTGTGTGCAACCTCAACCTGTTTCCGGAGATTGTTTCTCAACACACGGGGCCTTCCTCCCGGCGTTCCCCGTTTTCGTCGATGCCGTGATCCAGTCTCTGGTAAATCTCGGTTGCATCGCTAAGCAGTCGGATTTCAGAAGCCCAGAAGGCCCCGTGCATCCCCGTTTGGTAATGAAGATTATGTTGGAAGGGTCCATCAAACCGGGCCTCATCCCCGATTTTCTGCCGGCGCTCAACCAACACAGCACCCGGGATGATATTTAGTCCCCCATGGATACCGAAAGTTGGCTCCATGACCACCCTCGATGGCGCTTCCGCCTTACCACACATCTTGGTTTACGCCTTTCCGTGGCCATTTCCTAGGCATTCCTCACAGCGGCTTCGAGAACTTGCGTGGGATATTCCCTTAAATTTTTGCTGACTTTGGAGGAGAAACTGCTCGTTCAGGTCTTGTGCGATTCTCTCTACAGTGCCACCGATTGTGAGCCCGATTGTAGTTGACCGGTCATAACTATTGATTGCGGTCATGGATTTCGACATTTTTTTCTGTACGTGTTGCCCATTATGACCTTGACAAGGCCCAGTAACGACAAATAACAACATATTCGCCTGATTGAGAGCGAAGTATCTGATTGAGAGCGAGAGCCAAAAAAATTGAAATTTCGGGTCCAGACGCCTCTTGCCATTTCTTGGCAAGTAGGGGACGGGCTATTCCAAGAAGCGGTGCAAATTGAAGGTCTCATCAGCAGCTTCGCGAGCATATGCGTGTCATCGTCATCGGATGCTGCAGCGAGGAGCTAGACAAGTTGCTAGATTTGCCCAGATTGGCTATTTCTGCTCAAACTGTTTCAGGGCGGTATCGCGTCGGGCGGTGGGCTCTGCTGTAGCTTCTGCTCCCCGCTGTAGCTCCACAGCGAGAGACTCCCACAGGATGACCAGGGTAGCGGCTTGAAGCTACAGGCTAGCCCTTCAATTCAAGCTACACAGCAAGCTCCACCTCTCAGTGGTAGTCCGGCTACAGCGTATCGCGCACTCTCGCTCTCAATCAGATGCTACGCTCTCAATCAGGCGAATATGTTGTTAAATGTAAAATGAGTATGAAGAAAATAGCATACATTTTTCAACATAAAACACATGGGAAGTACAAAATCTGACAATAAGGAAAATACGACGAAAAAAGGCCAGATACGAGACTCTAACCAGATACCTCGAGTGTGAGACGGTAGGAAGTTGATCTCGGGTCCAGATCAACCGCAGAGAGGTGTTAGAACCACGTATATGAGCACGTATATACCTGCAACGCTGACGAACATTTCCCATAACTGTTTCTGAAATCGAGCAGATACACCTTGAGATGTCATCATATTGCGCCACGATAAAAATTCGAGGAGGGAACTGTAAAGAAATGTTTGTTTTTTCCAAATGGCTTCCTGATTTTTTTCGGCATGTGGTCAAAAAGGTTTGGAAATGGAACCAACGCCATAAATAGAACAGAAAGAGAGCGTCAATTATCTGCATTTTTTTCGGTGGGTTCGCCGTAGTTGTCGAGTTATGGAGGACTCGGTGGAGTAAAGCACCTTCGCTGGCGATGGTAACAGGTCCATAACTCTTGATCCAGAGCGAACCCACCGCTTTTGAACGGCTTATTCGAAAGCTACTGGCGAGAGCTTTCCAACGCACATTTGTTTTTCGCCCAATTCGTTTGACAACCCTTCAAAAAAAATCACCCCGCCCCAAAAATGTGGGACAATCGGTGCAACTGTAGACCAGCAAAACACTTTTGAATCTACAACAACAATCATGCAACGGAGTGTCGCTAAAGCGATGTCTTGGAGGGGGCCACCCGCGATCGCCTTGTTTGCCGCGGTGATCTCGAAGTGCATATTGTTGGGGCTGCCGCGAATAGAGCCGGGGAGGACAGGCAAGGGCGCAGCAGGCGTCTCGTTTATGGCTAGCTTGTGTATAGTTCTAAAGTTGGGTGCTCATCGTATTACGTTTCATTTCCCTGCGTCCCGTGGAGGAGGCCTTCCTCCCCGATCGTACCTTCGCCGATCCTTGCCGTTTATTCTCCCATCATCGGTATCCCCCCTTCCCCTTCCTGTACGACTATTATCTGGATGCTGCTGAAAGGGCGCACGGTCGTCCCCACGGGCATTCCATCACCCCAGCGTCGGGGGGGATATCTGTCACCACTCGTTCGGTCAAACCGGGGTCTCGGTCGGGCTGTTCAAGCGATGCCCGTCGGGCCTCCTGGAAAGTGAGAGCTAGACCCCCTCCCTCGCCGCAGCTTCTCCTCCAACTTCCAACCAGAATTGATGACGAATCTCGCACGCTCCTCTCGGGCTTACAAGGTCGTGGCCTCCTAGAGCTCGGAGCTGATACCCTCCCCTATCGACACACCATTTTCCCACGTGCAGCACTATCGGCTCTCCCACAGCCCGCGGCATTCACCCTGGTTTTACGATTGGTCATGCCGGAACCATGGACGTTGTGCCTACGATGGCCGCACACTGACTAAGGCCAATGGTAGTGGTGGCAGGAGGCGCCTACACACAACGCAAACGTCACTGTTGACGCCGTACCGACAGCAGTAACCCCCCAATCTATGTACAGCTTCCAGGACACTGAAAACATGAAATACAGTAGCACGGATCACCTGTCAGGTGTGTTTATCGTCTCACATTGATGATACCTTCCAGGGTTATCCCCAAGGCCATTCAAGCGTTCCTCGAAATCAAGAGCTACTTGTGCTTCAAGCCGCCCGTCCGACGTACCCCCAGTTGCAAAGCACTGGAAATGTCGGGCGGTCTTCGGGCTCCTGGGCCCAGCAGCTGCGCACCATCTCTGCGATGTCTACGGGGCCACCCGCGGGCATCGCGGGGCGTTCCTCACGCATGACAACACGGAGGTAGATGTCTCGAGGCCGAGCTTGGTCCGCCCAAGGTGTCTGTCTCGTCAGCACCTCCCACGCCACCATCCCGAAGCTGTAGACGTCGCTCGCCTTGGAGGTTTCCTTGGACTCCAGCACCTTCTGGCGCGCAGATACTGTCTCAGTAGCCTGGTTTTGCCATCAAAGGAGGAGAGGACAGGCGGTGACGAGCTGATTGGGCTGGTTGACCCTTCTTCTCGAGAATCTTCAAACCAAGAACCCTAAGTGCAACGAGGGAGAAAGCGAGGAACCTACTGGGAAGGAAAGCAACGAGAGCGTGCACGAAGCGGAGCGGGTCGAGTTTGGTCGTGCTAGGACTGGCCACAGCGGCACCGGAGCAGCGGCACCGGAGCAGGCGAACGGCATCGAACCGTGGCGCACGGACAAACATCTCTTGTGTTGTCAGTTATTTCTCCGTTTTTTTCCTGAATTCACGTGTTAGGTGCGTGTGATGACGTCAGTCACTGGTTTTGTAGAGAGACGCGGCAGAGATGGCGCGGATAACCCGAGTGCCTTAATCGTGTACCTGCATCGTGGAAGACCCCTTCAATGTGGAACGATTCTTAGCCAGTGTCGATGTTTACACTGCTGTGCCTGACACAGATGATCTGGATAGATTCGGGTGATTGTCAATTGCAATGATGGCTTTGGTTGGGCCTTATTCTTCATTGTATGTCCACGGGCTCATTCTGACAGCACTTCAGACAGCAGCTCCATGCCCCGAGCTTGTGTACCATGCGCCATGGTGTTATTATTGTACAGGCAGCACTTCAGACAGCAGTACGCTGTAGTCGACAAACATTTATTTTGGTTGAATGAGGGACAAGGGGGGTGATGCTGCTGCTGTAGTCGATTTGTAGTGTGTGGGCGTGTAGTTCAGTTGTGAGCACGCAAACTAAACGTGCTGCAGGGATTGCAGGTGTACCTCCTCGGACTTGCGTACCCTTTCCTTGACTAGTGTGTGTGTTCTTTAGATCTTCTGATGGCTCTAGCATTTTTGTGACCACGGACCGAGTCTTTGCTAGATTTTGGGATTAGCAACTGACACGAGTTTAATGTGAAGAAAAACAACAACACATTGGCGTGCGTGACCTTCGAGAGTGTTGTTGAGCAAGCGTGGTATAGTATCTGTACAAATGCAAACAGGGGGTGTCGTGGTGTATTTAGAGCAGGTGGTAGAGGGCAAGACGGCTCTTCGGGGGCATGGTTAGGGGGTTCCGTGAATGCATAGGGGGTATGTCGTGTTTGGGGGGCTCCGTGTATGATTTTTGCCCAAAAATGTTGCTTTTCTCGATGCTTTCGAAATTTGTCATTATTATTTTTCGTACCCCCTTTGCTCGCCAAGGGGGAGGGGAAAAGAGCGGAGACCAGGTAGGGCAACACCACACACGCCCCCGGTCTACTCCTTACGATCAGCATAAACATCAGCCACCCAACAGACAGACTCTGTCTGCTCCCCACAACCGCTGATAGTACCACACCGGCTTGTTCATACTGAAACCACGAGAGAACCCCACTAGGCCCATCAACATTAGTATTGCCATTTGGCGAAACACCCGGGCCACCAAAGAAAAAAAACATTTCTCGTCTCTCGCTACTCTCTGTTCCCCTGACCTTCCCATCGCACTGTAGAAAAACACGCATGTACCCGGACACCAGGACACCCACATATAAGCCATATAATATGTATGCGTATCCACCAATCAGTCAGACTCGTCACGCACGTAACGGGGAAGCGCGCAGCACCAAGATAGCCACACACAGCAGCCAGGAGTGCACTCCCCCAACCATGCAACGGTCCGATACACCCAACAACATGCGTCCTGCATATACCATCTGAAGTGCGATGTACACCAATCCCACTCAAAATAAATGGGACGAGCACCTCGGAACTGCGCCCAGCATAGGCACACGCAACCCCGACTGCGGCTACACAGTGAGTCCCCCCCGACGGACACTCACCCTGAACACAACGCCGCTGCTCCTATTTCCATGTCCACTGACACCCCCAAAAGCAAGGGTGGGTGAGTGGGAAAAAGAAACGTCACTGCAGAAAACAACCCTTGGCCACCACACGCACACGTGCTCTCGCTCGCCCCCGGTAAACACGGCGAAGCGAGTAGACTGAAAACAGAAACCAACACGCTCGTCCGCTTCCTGCTTTCTGATTGGCCAAAGGTTTGTTTCTGCCGCTTCTCACAAAACGCAGATATCCCTTACTTCGTCAGTCAATCGTTCGCTTCTCTCGATGCTTTCGAAATTTGCCATTATTATTTTGCGTACTCCCTTTGCTCGCCAAGGGGGGGGGGGAAAGAGCGGAGACCAGGTAGGGCAACACCACACACGCCCCCGGTCTACTCCTTACGATCAGTATAAACATCAGCCACCCAACAGACAG